TGGAGATTAAGAAAAACCTAAGCAGATGCAGTTTTATGGGTTTTGACTTATGTTACAGAGAAGAGAATCATTGGTCTATAGGTCTTTGTTGTTCGTTTTTGTATATGCTGTAGCAGGTGAGTGGAAATGTTCTCAGCAGGCATTTTTAAAGAGTTAATATTTTGACATAATGTTTTTGCTTTTGCCAGGTCGCAGAAGGTCAAGAGATCTGTGTCATTGAAGCTATGAAAATGCAGAACAGTTTGGTTGCAGCAAAAACTGGAAAGGTATATTTCTGTCATATGGTTTAGTTCTATTACTCAAGCCTTGTGAGGCCAAATTTCACAGAAGCTTCATTTTAAAAGAAAACATACAAATATTCTTCAGAAATTGTTAATATTGGCATCGGTTTTGAACCAATGGTACCATTCTGAAACTGTCATTGTGGTTGTTTTAAATACGTAACTGTTTAGCAGTTGCCCAAGATGGATTTTATTCTGGCTGCCATCTTTTTTCCTGATTTAGATCTACATTTCAATTTAATACAGTTTTGAATCCAGACTCAACCCTAAACCTATTGAAGTATGTGAGATGTCAGTGAAATCAAATTAAATTAATCAGCTGGAGTTCTCTATGGTAGTTATGAATATGTAACCTAGAGTTATGCATTTGTGATGGTTCTGTATGCACAATCCCTATGTAGCCTGTAGATTAGGGGTTGTATAGGGAAAAACTGTGGAAGTAACTGTGCAGCAACTGTTGCAATCAACAGGGATCAATTCCTTTGTCAATTGAGAGGCAGCTAGCCAATATTCTCAAAGGCACCCACCCGCTTTGCAAGCAATCTCTGGTGCAAGGAGGGATTACAACAGGGCCCCTGTTCAGCATGCCACACTGGAGATTTCTCACAAGAAAGGAATGGTAATAGCTTCATCTTCTTCCCAAGCAACAGCGGAATAGCCCTCCCATCAATCGCAGTGGCTGCTTCCCAGGAAGTGAGGATTGCAAGGTTGGGCTGGATTTCAATGCTTAGTGCTGCAACCACTGCCCTTATGTATACGTATTTCCCATTCAGAACTCTGACCATAATAACTTTAAATCACAGATTTCTACACTGTCTTCTCCAACAGCATCTGGATTTTATCCTGTTTTAAATATTGAGTATTGAATCTCAGAAATCATGAGATTATATTTTCAGTTATTGTCACTTATATTTCTAAATTGGGTCAATAGACTACAAGATAGAAATGATGGCCTAGAGTTTATATAGAAGAACTATTCTTTTTATTTTGCCCACGTCTAAAAATTCTGTCTTTCCTCCTTTTTCTTTCCAAAGGGGTTCCCTCCTTTCACCTGTAAAAGGTAAAGGTTTCCCCCTGACATTAAGTCGAGTTGTGTCCGACTCTGGAGGTTGGTGCTCATCTCCATTTCACCTCCAAGATCATGTGGCCAGCATGACTGCATGCTGGCCTTCCCACAGAAGCAGTACCTATTGATATACTCACATTTGCATGTTTTCGAACTGCTAGGTTGGAAGAAGCTGGGGCTGACAGTGGAAGCTCACGCCGCTCCCCAGATTCGATCCTGCGACCTTCAGTCAACAAGTTTAGCAGAACAGCAGTTTAACCCACCGTGACACCGGGGGCTACTATTACCTACTAGTATAAAGAACTAGTCATAAAAGTGTAGTTATGATAAATGCTGATATTTTTCCTCCTCCTCCTCTTTGCAAAAATATATTCCTAGAATAACTGCAGCTGTTTTGCCAAAAAGTTATATTTTTATTATTCCGAATAATATTGACTGGAATTCATTTGAGTAGCTATGAATTAATAACCACCAATGTATCTATGTAGTGACTCATGCCCCAGCCCTCCCAGTTTCCACTGGAAGCAGCTGTTTGCAGTTGTCAGAAGTCTGTTCCCCTTTTGACCAGGAAGCAGCTGACTGGGGCCCCTTCCACACAGCTAAAATCCCACATTTTCCGCTTTAAACTGGGATATATGGCAGTGTGGACTCAGATAACCCAGTTCAAAGCAGATATTGTGGGATTTTCTGCCTTGGTATTCTGAGTTATATAGCTGTGTGGAAGGGCACTGGCAGTCCCACTCCCTTTCATAAATGATCTTCAGTGCAACAGTCAGAAACAGGGTCCAAAATATCTGTCTTGAACTGGGATATCTGAGTCCACACTGCCATATATCCCAGTTCAAAGCAGAAAATGTGGGATTTTATTCAGCTGTGTGGAAGGGGCCATGGACTAGGAAATACATAGAAATTGTGAATACAAAAAGAGTCACAAATGCCTTATTCTAAGTTACATGTTTGTAAGTTACTTAGTAGATTCTGGGCCTGTTTGTTATCTGTGAAGCTTTACATGTTGTTATTTAGAGCCTTTACAATATCTCCACTTTATAGCACATAAATTAATTGAAAAGACTTACACAGAGGTTTCTCATTGCCTTCCTATGAGGCCAAGGTCTCCATCGCTAATGAGGGATTCAGACCTGGTTTCCAGACTGCAGATTTCAATGATACTGACCTTTCATGTGATGTGTGAATTTGAATTTAAATGTTTGTCATTTCTTCAGTATTGAAGAAGTCGGAGGTCTTGCATGTTGCAGAAATATGGACATGGGGGGAGGGCATTTTAAAACAAGCTTAAGTGCTTGGACCACAGAATGAAAGGCTGCATAAAATTTGTACAGATCTTCACACTAACATAATTATTAGGTTTTGTGTAAATTGCAGAATTCAATTTAAAGCCTACTAAATATTTATTTAGGCCAAATAAAATCACACTGGCCAACACACATTTTGGTACCTCAAATATGAGGCATGTTTCTGTGTATATTTGATCTGCTGAATCCAAAAGTGGCACTAGTTTCCCCCATCAGCTCTTGTTTTTGAGATATAAAACATGTGCTATATACCAATCCTCACCTGCTCGCCCATAAAAAAAAACTAGAGCTGATGGGGTCTATCCAATGTAATTTTCTGAATCAGTGCCCCAAATAACTCTCGAAACAGGCCTAAAAACCAAGATACTGAGGGAAAAAAAATTTTTTTGTTGGTCTGTCTAATTAATTTATATTGGAAAATACAGTTTTCAGAAGTAATCACATCTTCTGGAGATAAGTAAATGTGTTATTTCCGAAATGTTTACTCCTTCCACAGAGAAACCAAGGTTGGGTGGGCGGTGGGAGGGAGGGAGGCAGCTTTAGCTGACAACGCAAAGGACTTTCCTTCACTTCAGGATGGTGCTTCCCACTGAAATATAGACAGTTCTCTCTTACCTTTCAGGGAAATAAAGGGTCACCATCTCTTTCCAGACTTGCTGTCCCTGGGGGGGGGGGGGGGGGGGTCAATGGCTCAAAGTTGCTCAGTTATTTTAAGCTTTTTTGCCTTTTTATTTTTGTTAGCCCCTTTAGATACACCCTATTAGGAGTGGCAGGATGGAAGGAGGCATCTCAATCCACCTTCCGTCCCTTTCAGCAAGACTCATTCTTGGTTTTCCTAGGGACCATTTCCTGCATGCCTAGCAAGGAAAGAGGAGAAGCACAAGTTTCAAAAATATTGGCAGTGGGTGGACAGAAAGGGAGAAGTATATTCTGGGATAGATGGATGGATATACACAGACACACATACATAAAAGCAAACCAAAACATATTTCCCTTCAATCTTTTGGCTTGGAATAGAAGCATAGTACAAAAACTGGACAATATGTTTGTTTCCCAGAAGATCCTCTTATATTTCAGGCTTTCCATGTGTTTATGGGTGTATTTTTAATGGAACTCTATCATCTGTTTTCTTTTGAAAGGCATGACCCAAAAGTAGTTCTTGCTTCTTTCTCACTGTAGGTGAAAGCTGTGCACTGCAAAGCTGGAGAAACTGTTGGGGAAGGAGATGAGCTGGTGGAGCTGGAATGAAACCATTTCTTCCATACCTTTCCATTGTTGGACTGCCGCCTTTTTTTAGGTCATCCACAGATGAATATCAAAAGAATAATGTAAACCCAAGTGTTGTTATGACTTTTAAAAATAATAATAATAATACGTTGCACAAGTGGTGAGGGGCCATTGAGATCACCTTGAAATTGCCTCTGGATCTCAGATTTCACTCCTTTATAAATACTTGTACATACAAGATTTGTAATTCTCTTCAACAATTCTACCGGTATGAAACAAATCAATAAAATGAAACCTTTTGGCATAGAAGTGAAGTGTATTATTCAGCCTCTTCACAACACTAATAAATTAACCTATGCCTCTATAGGGAAGTGTGATACTTTATTCATCTTTTAAAACTTTTGTTTGCCTTTAAATCTGTTTTATATGTGTTGTTTTAAATTTTATTGTCTTTTTAATTTTTATTGGAAGCCACCTTGGACTTCATTTTGTGAGAAAAGGGCAAGATGATGATGATGATACTAGTAATAGAATAAACCACACCATACTGCAGTTTTTGTCAATCCCCATGATGTAATATTTCCCTCCAGAAATGATCACAGCAAGGAATTGTGGTAGGAGTAGAGGGGTCTTTGAACCAACACTTCAGGCAAAGGAGGCATCCCATAACTTTAATCTGTGCCGCAAAGATTGATGTGAAGGTGAAAAGAATGATGGCATTGGCCCTCCAGCTGAGAATTCTCATCACCATAATATTTTCTGTCAATCCCCAAATTTCTAGCATTGGTGAGAGAGAGAAATTGATTAATTAATGCCAATCAGTCAATCAAGCAATAAGAAAACAAAATGGCTTTATAGGTCCATTGCAAGGAATCTAGCTGTCAGGCATCTTCTCCTCTTCCATCCCACTTTTATTGCATCAGCATCTGAATACACTCTTAAGAACCACTTCATATCCAGATTCCTGCATGGCCTCAAGAATGTAATCCAACTTTCACACTGCCAACCTTCCAGACAACATGTCTGCCAGTGGGTTGTTTGCTTCCCACTAGATGCTCAATATTCTTTTCAAAAACAATTAAAATGAGGGTTAGAAAATCACACAAAAAACTGTTCAGATTAAGAGCATATTTGTTGAGACATAGCACACCATGAATCTATGATAGCGTGCCAACATCTAATCAAACCCCTGAGTCTAATGTTAATTCCAGTAATAACATGCACAAAAGTGTTTAGCTATAGTAAAGCATACAGTTACAGCAGACATAGTTATGAAATCCCATATCCTGCATACTCAATCTACGTGTTTTTGTCGTCATTAGTTTAACTGCGCCTTCTCGTCATTTGTTTTAAAAGTTGGGTGAACTCTGCACACCCAACTGTGTGGTCAGATCTCATACAACCAGTTTTCCTAATTTGGTGATAACTGGTCATTATCAAAAATTACAGCAGACCTTTTAGCTACTATGTACCTAGCTTTTAAGTATAAATTCATCAATTCTACAACCATTCAATGGCTATGGAAGGATATGAGGGAGTGGGGAGGGAGAATGGGGGAGAGTGAGACAGCCAGCCAGTTGTGGGAAGATGATGTCCTCCTCTTGGACCTCTGGTGACACCCCATTAGGGAGAGGATCCTCAGATGGGCAGCTTCAGATTCAATAGAGCAGAATGGCTGCTTGACTCATCCTCAGTATTTCCCTGGTCAATGAATAACCATAAGGAAGGACACCCAATTAGAAAACAGGAAGGTGGCTCAGGGAGGGAATCATAACTGAGGGATGTGGTATCTACCGTGGCTATCAAAGTTAGATATGCCCATGTCACTAAAAGAAAGTGAGCTGATACAAAGTTAAGTAATACCAAAGTACACGATTTTTTAAAAAGAGATATTGTAACAGTTACCAGTCATCATGTATAAACTACAAAACTATCAAAGTTTGCATCACAACCAATCTACAATGGGTGTTATCCCGTTAAAACGATGACAGGAATCTTGTTGGGGCAGTAAGTCTTTATAACTAAACTTAGGCCTGTGGGAAGTATGACTGTGCAAATGCACAATGTTTATATCCAGTAGAAGACTGCTGCAATGTTACTATGTAGAAGAGCCAGCAAAGTTCGTAATGCACTTTGATGGCCAATACACATTAGTCCTGATACCCATCACATTGGTTTTGATGTACATGGCATCCATCCCAGTCGGTCACTCTTGCTGGCATTTCAGTATATGTCTTCTGAATTCAGTAACTGGGTTTCTAAGCACTTCTGGTGCTTACTAAATATGTGCAGAGTTGTGTTAAAATCATAAAGGATTCCAACTATTGTGTTATGTATTGATGTTTTTAATCTGTTAACTGTTTAATTGCTTTTATGTATGTATGTATTTTTGACATAGGCATCGAATTGTGCCTTCCTTTGTAAGCCGCCCTGAGCCCCCCCCCCCCTTTGGGGGTGCGAAGGGCAGGGTAGAAGTAACTGAAATAAAAAAATAAAAAAATTATCACTTAGTAACACCAAAAACAAACTAACAAAGAAATAGAAAATACTGCAAAATAGAAAACATGATTTCTTCAGTAGAACAGCTAAGAAATTTAGGATGTCCTGTACATGCAAGGATAGCAAGTTATGATCAAGTTTTACCTACAAGGTGCAATAATTCTTCCCTGATTAGCTTCTTAAAATAACATTTGTCTATGTTTGATCAGCAGATTTCTTCCCAGAGTCATTTTCTGGCTCATGGAAATGTTGTGCAATAAAAAAGTTTACAATGAGTTAGAATGCCCGCCCTCCTCCGCACAAATACCCTGGTTTAAAAATAGGCAATATTTCCTCTTTCCCTTGTGTAAAAACAAAAAGAAATGGAAAATTACAGCAAGAGAACAGAAAGCACCTTAGCTTGCATGCCTAAGCAAGTTAGTGTTTGCAAACTTGACTATTTCAACCTGCCAACAATTGAAAACATCTGTAAAAAGATTAGTATTCCAGGAGAAAGTATTGGCAATTTGATTCAACTCCTCCATATCTTCATATTATCTTTTGAAGGACAGCTTCATCTTCTATTTTTAATTTCTGCTCTCCCGAAGCACATATTCAAGTTTGTGTTTCCCAAAGGAGTCATAGTTGTCGTAGTAAGGGAGATGTATCCACTCTGGCTGGTAAGTACTAGCGCTATACACATCGCATTCCAGGATGCTGTTCACACCTGGTCTCACTTCAGGTGCACTGCTTTTGTCTTCCCATTCAACCACCTCAATTTTCATTGGAGCACGTTGATACATATCTGGGCAACTTTCAAACTCATCCAGGAATTGCAACATCTGGTCATCAACAGAATAGATGTCTCCTGAGACCCGATGCCCTATTCCTGGCTTGTTCAGTAAAAAAGGAATGTTATACTTCCCAGCAATCACCAGGGGGTACTTCTCCACTGTGAGCCCCCTTCCCTGGAACAAGGAGGTCCCATGGGCACCGTTTATCATGTGTGGGTAGTTTGGCTGGCCTTTCTTCAGGGTGCCATAGACAAAGACACGGGCCATTCTTCCAACTGAAGGAACTAAAAGAAACAAACACAAGCATTAAAAAGTATTATTTGCATAATCATCGTTCTTTAAAAGCTAGCTCTCACAGCAGAAAGTTTGCAGATGAAGTCAAGCTGCCTTTAACTTGCTGGTTAAAACCTACAATTCATGATCACACAATGGAATCTGTCAGAGTTATTATGGACAGAAGTGTTTCCAGCAGCTGAAATGAGAGGAAGCAATTCCCAGAAGCAATCAAACACTTAATACACTGGATAGCAGCTACTATCCTAACTAAAAAGGGTTGGCATGCAATGCCCACGCCATACAGTTGCCATGAATACATGGTCATCTTAATTTGAAATGCGCTGTTTTAAACATGATCATAATCTCTTTTGCCACTGCATCGGTGACCAGAAGTAGCTGAACTCTGAACACCCAACTGTGTGGTCAGATCTCATACAACCAGTTTTCCTAATTTGGTGATAAATGTGTCATTATCAAAAATTACAACAGACCGTTTAGCTACTATGTACCTGGCTTTTGAATATGAATTCATCAATTTAAGATAACACAGCCAATTTCAAGTAGTTAAGCAACTGCTTCAAGTGGCAACTTGAAAGCACAGCATTAGTAGGAGCCCTCTGTGACAAGCTGGGACCAGAGGAGACACCATTTGTCCTTGAGCCACTGCTTGCTTAGGACAAACTCTGAAAGGTATGATTTCTCCCAAAACTGAGGCTCCGGATGCCTTACAATGTAAAAGGAAACCAGCTAAAAACTTTCCAAAGGTGGTGAACATTAAAATGGGAAGAAACTATTGACAGCATTGAAATGACTTAAAACTATACCCACAAAGATAAAATGCCATTAAAAGATAAAAGAGCAATTAAAACAACCCAGAATCTAGCACCATTCTTATTCAGGAAGACTTTTGTAAACAATGTTTCCAGCAGGGGCGTCCGATCATGGCCTTCAGCAAACTCACCCAAAGAATTTGTATATATGGGTGATGATGAGAATTAATCTTTTAGTAAGTCACACACAAAAGCACATGTTCTTCAAAAACAAAGGTGGACTTCCAGCTACTTCCAGTATTTTTATGTATGGCAAGTCCAGAAATTCTTATGTCATCAAGATTCTTTACAGTTGAAATATACTAGAACAAATTACATACATGTGTATGCATCTGAAAAAGTAGACCTAGCCTACAAAAGCCTCATTCTCTCAGTTAGTCTCTAAGATGCAACAAGTTCCTTTTGCACACGAGTGATACTCAGACCTCACACTCACACACATGCAAACATGCACATACCTCAGCATGCAACTGGTGAACTAAATGTATGAATGGTTTTTTAAAAACCACAGCTTCCTGGATCCATATTTATACATGCTAATACCTTGAAAAACTAGAAGCATTCCAGTCCCGTAGGGAGAAATCTGCATTTGCCATTTCTGTTCCCGTGGCCAAGTCCTGTTAAGGTGGTTTCTGATGGCCAATTTTTCTGACCACACAACATGTTTTGAAATTCCCTGCGGTGATGTTTCTGTCGAACTGGTTCTTCCAAAGCAAGGTTCCAGTTAATGGCTCTGAAGCTACTGTGAGGTTCAAAGTATGGTTTTGCACTTAGTATATGTACTTGTGGGTATCTGTATTTTTCAGAGAAGAGGGTAAACACAAGCTCTCTGATAGATCTAATAAATAATATCAAATGTGTCTGGTAAAACCCCAAAGGACATTCCTACCCAGATCCAGAGTACTCTTTCCTGTTGTAACTAAACATCACATACACAGTTTATAGTTCTAAGGAAATTTCCATCCCTATTTTAATCAGAGATTGGGTTTCAGTTTTCCTGTCCATCACGTCTGCTAACTTTAGCAAGACTCACACAATGGGTGCTGCTCATACCCTGTGAAAGATGGGGTCTTCATGCCTTTATGATATTTCCAAAATGTTTGATGTTTCCCATCAGGAAGCATCAGTCACAGATTGCGACTCTAGCTTTTGGCACATGTATGGAAGGAATATTTTGCAGTACACCTGGGTGATTATTTTCATCTTCCGTTATAAGAACAGTGTAGGGCAAAAGAGACTCCTATTTACTAAAGTAATGAAACAGTTCCCATGTTTTTCCTTGGCTACTGTTCAAAGCAGTCTGCCTCCCAGCTGCACCTCCCTTTGTGAAGGTTCGAACTAAAGCCCAGAACATCTGATGCTTTCCCAAATTTTGCTATTAGTCAACTGGACTGCTAGGAGAAACTGTCTCTGGTTTTCCCCAGCACAGCAGTTTGGTCTCTAATTGCCAGATGCAGAGCATAGTCCGAAGGTGGGCAAGACACCTGGCCCTGAATTCAGACAAGGAGCCATTAGATCATTTCAAAGGAGGCGCAAAACCTGAAAACAAAGAGGAGGCACACGTTTTAAAGATTTGTTTCGGGTGGAGTAGTGCAGTGGTCACAATGTATCTGTAGTAGCTTTACTCTCAGCGAATGAAAGGCTGGGGCTACGAGTAGGATGAAAGTGTTATGAATAAATTACTCCCTCTCTGTTCCTGTAGGAATCATTAGACATACCTCTTCGGTTTTCCAGTGGCAATGACTCACACAGAGAGCAAACTCTTGAGGGCAGTTTGACTGCCTTTGTCCGTCAGAACAGGAATAATGAAAACGATCCAGTTATGCCAGATGCAAAGGCAGGGTAGAGGTCACCATTCTCAGGGCCTATTGGCACTACAGATTTGATCTGTGTTAACTGTTCTTCCCTCTCTCCGGGAAACACTGGACCTGCTGTCCCCTACAGCTTATTTATTTATTGTGTCAGAAGCAAGTTGAGGGTACAGTTATAATGCATTAAAAATACAAAGTTTCAAAAAATACTTGGCATTATACTAAATGTCCTTTGACCAGAAGCTGTCCACTTGGAGCGCCCCTACAGCTGATGCTGTGGCTTTCTTATGCAGCAGGGGCTAAATCTCACAATTCCCAATCAGCATGACCTGTATTCAGGAATGACAGAACTTATCATCAACCAAATCTGGAGACAGAGATTCCCTTCCTCTGATGTAAAGTATTCTTAGCACCATACCCAACTTCAATTTCCCTTATTCTTTAGATTGTGTAAGACTTAAATACATAGTCTGCAGGCCTCAGTAGGCCTCAAATAAGCAGCAGAGTGGGGCATTTTGCAGAGTGTCACAGCAAGAGTACAATGGGCCCTCTGTATCCACTGGGACTTGGTTTTGGGACACTGCCATCCCTGCGGATACCAAAATCCATGAATGCTCAAGTCCCATTATATACAATGTCATAATAAAGTGGCATCCCTTGTAAAAATGGCAAACAACTCAAAATGAGTGCTGGAGAGAGCCTGAGCATCTATGAAGGCTTAGGCAGGAGTCTACAGCATGGTATGCCTACATATAAGTGTAGTGCTTGGCATATAGCAAAATCAGAGTTTACTTTTTAGGATTTTTTTAAAAAAAGATTGAATCCATGTTTGCAGAGCCTGTGGAAATGGAGGGCCACCTATAGTCATGTAGTTCCCCCACTCTAATAACAACCACCAACCCCACCACCACCACCAATTTATTACCTGCCTCTCCCTGCGGCTTGAGGTGGGATACAACATCATTAAAACAAGAGAGAGAACACTATTAAAAGACACACAAGACACAAAGAGTTAAAATCTGAGTTAAATTCCACTGAGGAAATACAGATTAAAATTCACCAGGTAGAATCCTGTCTCAAGTAAATACTTCTTCACTCCCCAAAATTTCTAGCTTTGTGGTCACTTTTCAACTTCAGTTGAGCATTTAGAAAAGGGGCAGGGAAATGTATGAATTAGATGTGAACAATTTTCAGTGTCTTACCCTCCAATGATAGAAATTTGGGGGCTGAAGGTAAGCTTTGTGCCACCTTGATCTTCTTGGGAGAAAGGTGGGATCAAAAAGAAAGAAACAAGTGGCCTCCAGAAAATGTCTAAGGTTCAGCACTTTACATATTGTTTACCATTCGGATATAATGTATTCCACTAAAAACACTATTCAAAATAGCCAGAGATGGTGAATCTTATCAAAACACTCATGTCTTTAAAAAACCCCATCATTTTCTTCTGACTACTGACTGAGACTTCAGTTATTTCCCACAAAGTGATGCTATTTCTTAAAGATTCACAAGATCCTGCCCTCAAAATCACATGCTCCCCCTTTTTTGGAGGTATTTTCAAATTACCTCCCCAATTTGCCCTGTTATTTCATCCCCATTTAGTTTGCATGTTTACCCTTCATGACATCAAATGGGTGTGAAGCTATAGATTGTTTCCCTGACAAAGGAGAGAACATTAATATTCGCTTGCTCTGGCTTCCTTTTGGAGGGCAAAAAAAAAATCATTACCTTTCAGATTGTGTTTTGAATAACAAGCACAGATCCTTCTGGAAGAAACTTGTCCCAGTGGGGATTGAGAAAGGATCAGAGTTAAGCACTGAAACATGCAATTAATTCCCATTAGGGGATTAGGGCACTCATGTTCACTTTGAATCAGAAAAAGTGAATTGTGAATTAAATTGTTCACAACCAAGAGGTTACTTGTCAGAGTTAATAAGTTACCATATAAAAGGGAAAATGGAAACACGCTTTAAAATCTCCACTGCAAGTAGAGCATCTGTCTGAAGAAGATACACTTCATTTACATGATGCAATTTCTCTACTGTGGATATAGAGCTACGCAGGTTTTGGAGAAGGGGAGATTTTTCTGGGGGAAGAGGTCTTCTCACAACTGAAATCAGATAGCACCTCCTTGCCCATTCATTTATCAAACAGAACAGAGGCTTTGCGCATTTTGTTACAATTGATTCCGAGAGGCACGAGGTCTCCAAGGTCCTGCTTAACACTTAGGAATATGGTTTCCATTATGGTTCCTAGTTGCTGACATGCTGTTTCATGGAAAGGAAAAGCTGGTGAGGAAATTGACATTTAAATCAAGGCCAGTGGTTGTGGCTGGAGCCCTTGACCCACCTGGACATAAAACACAACAAG